ACATACACCCACACACAAACACACACATACACACACAAATACATATATATACACACACATACATACACACACAAAAACATATACACATATACACATAAATACACACACATACACATAAACACACACACATACAAACACACACACACAAAAACACACAGGTACACATATATACACACACAAACACACATATACACATATACACATAAATACACACACATACACACATAAACACATACATACATACACAAACACATATACATACACACAAACACACACATACACATCAAACACACATGTATACACACACAAACACATATACACACACATACACACAAACACATACACATAAAAACACACAGGTACACACATACACACACAAATACACGTACACGTACACACACACAGCCCAATGAAATGGTTGGAATTCCAGAGGGACCCACTGTGGTCCAGATCTCAAGACAATAAAAGAGATGAATAAAAAAGAATGTCTATCTGTTCTGCACTGACACAGCAGGGTGGGAAAGATGCCAAGCCATACTGATTGCAGAAGAGCCTATGTTTAGTTTGGAAAGGGATGTCTCAGAAAGTTCCAGAGCCACAATAGGAGTAAGGATAGAGACTGTCCTGAGAAATCTCCAAAGGGGCCAGGGTGGACATTCCCAACCCAGGGCCCTGTCCATGCCAGGTTCAGGAAAAATTCAACAAATCTGACACTGTTAAGGCCTGCCTACCCTGTCCCTTCTTGCCTTCATCCAGTCCCCAAAGCCATCTGACTCTAGAAATCTCTGGGCCACTGTGGTTGAGACACGGGCTGGCTGGCATGACAAATGTGGTATTTATCTCCCACGTGCTTGTTACTTTGTAGAAGGAAATAGACGCTAACTTTTGGAATCTGAAGACCAGGGTTCAAGACCACCTGTGCTACTTGCTGCTGTGAGATCTCGGGCATGAGACCTCTGACCTCTCAGCCTTCACACACTTTCCTGTGAAATGGGGACTGTCCCCGTCCCATCTCTGAGTCACTGTGAATGAGGACACAAATGGCCTCATGGTTGTTGTGAAACAGTTTAGTCCTTAACCTCATTTACAAAGGCATCCGTCTGCAGGTTCTCCCAGGCCTCGTTACTCCCAGGGCCTGAGAAGTTAGCGCACCAGTGCACACACGTTCACGTGAGGCACCTAGGACACGGCCAGCATGAACTGGGGATTTCTTCAGGGAATCCTGAGCGGCGTGAACAAGTACTCCACAGCACTGGGCCGCATCTGGCTGTCGGTGGTCTTCATCTTCCGGGTACTGGTGTATGTAGTGGCAGCGGAGGAGGTGTGGGATGACGACCAGAAGGATTTCGTCTGCAACACCAAGCAGCCAGGCTGCCCCAACGTCTGCTATGACGAGTTCTTCCCCGTGTCCCATGTGCGCCTCTGGGCCCTGCAACTCATCTTGGTCACCTGTCCTTCCCTGCTAGTGGTCATGCACGTGGCCTATCGAGAAGAGCGGGAAAGAAAACACCGCCTCAAATATGGACCCAACGCCCCAGCCCTGTACAGCAATCCGAGCAAGAAGAGGGGTGGCCTGTGGTGGACGTACCTTCTGAGTCTTATCTTCAAGGCTGCTGTGGACTCGGGATTTCTCTACATCTTCCATTGTATTTACAAAGACTATGACATGCCCCGAGTGGTAGCTTGCTCTGTGGATCCCTGCCCCCACATCGTGGACTGTTACATTGCCCGACCCACAGAGAAGAAGGTCTTCACCTACTTCATGGTAGTCACAGCAGCCATTTGTATCCTACTCAACCTCAGTGAGGTCGCCTACCTCGTGGGCAAGAGATGCATGGAGGTCTTCCGTCCCCGGCGCCGGAAAGCTTCCAGGAGGCACCAACTACCAGATACGTGCCCACCATATGTGATCTCCAAAGGAGGTCACACCCAAGATGAGAGCACGATCCTAACAAAGGCCGGGATGGCCACAGTGGATGCAGGTGTGTATCCGTGACCTGCAGGTAGGGTTATGAGGTTACTCTCTGTCCACTGAAGCCACCCAGGAAAATGGGCAAAAGCTGCAGCAGGTCAGGTGGGGAATAAAGTTGTGGGGACTCTGGAAGTTCATCCAAGAGCTAGCAGACGATGGGAAGCACCCTTGAGTCCCTAGATCCTGAGCCCCCAGGGACTTGATGGCTGGTGGGGATTTTATATTTGTCAATAGAGTACCTCAACCCCATTAATAAATATGATGTTCCCAGTGATTTGTAGACAAACAGAGAGGTATGGGGGGCGCATGTTTCATGCGGTTCTCTCAGAGGAAGCCAAGCTAAGTGGTCATCTGAGTCCCATACACACACACACACACACACACACACACACACACACACACCAGGACAGGGAGAAGAACAGCAAAGACAAGGCCTATACCAGGAGCCTCCCAGCTCTGCAGCAAGCTATCCAAGACAGGGAGCCAGGAAGACTGGTTCTCAGAGAGTGTTAAGTCCAGCCATCCATTGTGTGTGGTTTAACAGGCCTTTGATTTCCACTCCCTGACCTCTAAACCCACTCACTGCAGGTCCCACGAAGGGAGGACCTTTGAGGATGGGAGAATGGTGTGGAGAACAAGTGAGAGTGGAGTCTCCCAAGGGTCCAGGGGACATGCCACACCCCCTCATCTTCCACCAACACACTTCCCTGAGGAAACTCATCCTCCCCCTGCCCTATAACTGTCATACACACACACCTTTGACAGTCCCACAAACATCTTTCTATCCTGGACCTGCCTCTGAGTCCACAAGTTGACCCTGGATAATTCTTAGGGAAAGTATTTCGGTAGCATGACTAGCAATTCCTGACTGGCCTTGCCTTCCCTCCACAAAACTGCCCTCCTCACAGAGACCCTGCCCCACTTATGGAGGGCACTGCCATTATCTAGCTGTTCAGACCAGGAGCTGACCTATGACCCTCAACCTCCCACCCCCGCCCTGGCCCCATCAGCTCCCTGCAGCCCACAACCCCAACACAGCATCTCAGGGCACTGACACCAACCTCTGAGAACCTCCTAAGTCACCTTCTCCATCTCCCCATAGCCTTCCACCAATCCTCCACAGGGCCTCTCAGGCCTACCTACCCTCCACACCTGGATGGAATAATTACTCCGTCCACGGATGTGACAACACCATCCCTCCAGCTTTAACATTTCTCTCAACACACCCACCCCTAACCTCATTGCCCCCAAACAGGCAACTACTGACCTCCTTGTCCCTCCATGGCTCCCTCCCTCAGTTCGCTACTGATAATGTGTAGGTATCTGCAATGCTATGAATGTCCCTCCAACCTTTGTCATTCTGATCCCGCCTGCCTCCTCTGCAAATGGCCTCAAACCTCAAGGACAGCCCGACTACTTGGCATGCCAGCTCAGGCCTCTCTCCTCTGGGTTGGAATAGCTGGTACCCATGAATGATACCCGTCAGCCTGTAAGCCCTTTAAGGGCAGGATGCTGAGTCACCAGGTTTGCAGCCTTCAATAAATGTTTGCTAAATGAGTAAATGGGCTGTGAGCCTCTTGGAAGAAACCTGTCTTGTTTATCTGAACCCTCTGCCATACCTGGGAACTCAACAAAGTGGTTTTACCTCTGTTGGCTTCTTGTGGTTAACTAAATCCAGTTTTAAAATCTTGATTATGGGCAGGGAAACCCTCTAAGTCCACTGGGTAGCCTCTACATTCTTTGCTGATTAGGAGACCGGGTCAGAGTCATCTATCTTAGGTCAAGTTTCCTGGATGCAGAGCTAGTGGCAAGGCTTTGGCATCTATGATGGATGGAACAGGGAAACATGGTGGTAGGTGGGGGCTGAGCTAGGCTGGGCGTGTACCCAGGGACCTAGAGCTTGCCAGATTTGGAAGGAGGTATCATAAATGCCACCACAGACTAGTCCCGCTTGGGTAGACAATATTGATCCTTTGAGGACTCCTATAAGCGATTGGTTTGAGCTGACCCTGGTGGCAGAAAATCCAACAGGGATTCATAGGTAGCTTTGGTTCAGCCAAGACCATTTCCTCAAGAGCTGCTAACATTGGAGCATAGGAATTGGTGTCCACAGTAAAAGGAACACTGCCACCTACTTAACCTCTGACACTAGGAGACAAGGGTGGCTCTCAACCTTCATCAGCCCAGAGATGTGACCATCCAGCCTAGGTACTCTCAACAGAACCCAGTGACTATACAGTGTTAAAACCAAGACAGCTGCCAAATTCAGACCTGGACACGAGCCACCAACAATTCCTATGGGTGCCTAGAAGCCCCCTCCAGGAGTTGCTGTTCCAATATCCAGCATATTAAAAGTTCACCCTATGACCCAACCATTCCCATAATGCCTTCACATTCTAGAGCTCTCATGTCCTGAACCATAGGCCAGGCCATCTATTGTCTGACCCGCCAAGGCCTGCAGAGGTGGCTAAGGCCACTGAGCTGTCTCATCCTGTATCTCTCACATTCTCAAGCCTCCTCCTACTGCTCCTGCCCCCACTCAGCCCTCCTCCTTCTTGAGAAATCCCCATGTGTTTCCCTGCTGTCTTCCTCATGTGCACTCCTTCCTTTCCCGTTCATGCCGCCCACTTCTCATTCATTGAAGACTGAGCCCACGGCCAGGCATCTTGTCTTCTCTTGCCTTGGCAAGAAACCTAGGACCACACAGACCACCTGTGCTTCACCCTGCCCTCTTAATTCCATGACTTTCTTGTCCTCTAAGACACTTAGCTTCCTACTCACAAGGCACCAGACCTTGTCATCACCCACAGATGCCCCACCCTTAGAGCCTCTCCTTGAATTCAAGTCAACAGATAACATCGACTTCATTGTATGTCAAGTCTCCATGCTAGGCGCTGGGAAGAATGGAGCACACTTCCTGGGTTCACACCGCTTACACCATAGAGAAAAGGATGAGGTTCAAATGTCTATTGTCCTGGGGGAAGCGTGGGGTGCTGGGAGGATGAAGATGGCCTAACATCCAGGCATCCAGGAAAGGGCTCCCTGGGATTTCATAATGCTAACATGAAGAAAGGGAGAGTTTGCCAAGTGCTGGAGAATGGGACTTTGGATGGAGAAGGACACCATTCATAAATCAACAGAGGATGAATCTGATGGCTGAAAGAATGCCAGGGTGGTTTGAGTCAGCTGAGGGGCTAGTTTTTGGAGCGAGGCTGAAGTGAACCAGGAAAGATCGTGTAATGTGTTCTTTGCAGATCCCTGTTAATTATCTTGGACCTCATCCTAAAAACAAGAACAAGTCCCTGGAAAGATTTATCATGGGGGGTGACGCCCGTGGTTGCGGTGTGGAGCGACTGAGCCAGGGCTGCCTGTGTGATGTAAGGGCCTGAGAAAGCACAATGACCTGAACCGGCCAGGGTGTGCTCAGTGGGCATGGAGATAAGCAATCTGGGCTTTACAAAGTGAGGCTCAGAAAGATCTGCTGATTTGGTTGGGCGTGGGGACCAAGCACGGGGAAGAAATCACAGTGACACTCAGGTCTCTAGCTCTGAATGTCAATGTCATTTAGTGAGTCCAGAGTCACCGTGGATGCGCAGATTTGAGGGAGCCAGATGATTTCCGTTTCAAACATGTTAAGGTTGAGATACAAATCAGATACCTGGCCATTTCCCCATCCTTTCTGGGGCCATTGTGATCCCTAGCCCCCTTGTCTTGCTCTCTGCCAGAGCATTTGTCTTCATAGCTAACACATCTGGCCTCTCGGTTCCTTGACCTTCTTACTTGCAACAAGCTCTTTCTCACCAAACCTTACCTCCTTAACTCCCACATCTCATCTGCACATCTGTACGACAGCATCACCTCCTGTCTTATGAGATCACTCAGTCTGGTTCTCACTAGAGCAATTCCTCTTCCCCGTCTTGACCCACACTGCTCACTGCCTGTTGCCTCTCTTCACAGGCCCCTGCCCCCGACCCCCGTTCTCTCCTAGCTCAGATTCCCCAGGCCCCTATAGTCACTGACTGCTAGATACTCCCCAGCCCTTGCTTTTGCATATGTCTCTCCGGTGCTTTGCCTGCTGAGACCTTCTCCAAGAGGCATCTATTGCTGGGCCTTCTGAAGAATCACACAACTGGACCAACTGATCTCGATGTAAACATCTGACAACGAAGCTTGAGTTGAGTCCCAGGCATCTCTATGCAATCCTACACTTTCCTAAAACTTTCACCCAACTTTCCAAGAGATCTAGAACATACCTTTTCTTTCCTCATCCTTCATCCCCTATTCTCCCAATCCTAAGGCTTGACTGAGAGACCTCAGGTCCCTGGGAAGCAAGAACAGGAAGCAAATTCCATATCATCCTGACACACCTACCATCTTCTTAGCATGCCTGCCCAGTCCTCCTGCTTCTCCTCCACAGCATGGATGAAGCTTCCCTGTGCCTGGCATCCCTTTCCCACCTGGCCAGCAGGCCACATCACCTCATCTCAACTCTGTGCTCTTTCTCCTTCACAAATCCCCTTTCAAAAAATATGCTATAATATTTGGCCTCTCCCTCCCTTTAACTCTCTCTCAACTCCACTCCTCTTCTCCAGTTACCTGCCATTGACCAAAAGCAAGGTCTTCTAAGAGCTTTGTATGTCTGTCTCCTCTTTCTCATCCCAGTGGTCTCCAATTTGGCAAACCCAGTGCTCAATCTTCCCACCCCATCTCACTCCCTCAGCAGCGCTTGGCCATTGGGAGCCCCCTTCCTAAATCTCATCTTCTATTGGCCTTCAAGCAGCCATCTTCCCCGAGCTTCCATCCCACTCATGGTCTTTATGAATCTCCGAAGGTGCTTCCTCTCCATCTTCTAAGTCTCTAAACGTAAGATGCCCTAGGGCCCAGTTCTCTCAGCTTGGTCAGTACTGTCAATAGAACCACCTATGTGCTAGTGTATATGGTTTGTGTGTTCATGGCCAACTTCTTCCCTGAGGGGCACAGTCACATCTCCAACTTCCTATTCATCTGACTGAAAGCAGATTCCCATCATCTTGTCCCAGGTGGAGGATGACCTCCCTCATCCATCCACCTACTCAGTCAAAAACTCAGGCCTGGGAAGATGGCTCTGTTGGTGAGTGCCTTTTGTGCAAGTACAAACTGCAGCACCTATATATAAAAAAAAAAAAAAACTGGGAAACCATGCCTATAGCCCTAGGACTGAAGAAGGAGAAGGATTTGGGGGACTTGATGGCCACCAGCCTAGCTCCTGATTCAATGAGAGACCCTGTCTCAAA